CTGCGGACTGTTTCCGCTGCTCTCTTGCTCTCGTTTTGCCTTTCCTTCTTCCGGGATCTCTGGTCACGTCGCTCCCTGGCAAGTTTACGGAACCTCTCCTGTGGGTCAAAGTATATCAAAGTATCATGGTCGTGGCAGGATGGATACCAAACAGAAAGCACGAAGCTCAAGCTCTGTTTCGAGAGCGGGCGCGCTTGTCAATCCAATATTTTGCACTCCAGATCTAGAAAGGTACACCGCAAGATAAAAACACCGTTTGTCCTGGCTCGGGCTCCTTGTCCTGCAATTGAAAGTATCAGGGAGTAAAGGCATGGAGCAGAATCAGTTGATGTTTGATCTTGCCACCTGACCATTCACTTTAAGATGTGGAGAAGGCGTGGAACTTTGAAACTCTTTCAGGAGTGCCCGCGCGACATTGCCTTCTGAGATTTCTTGAGTACGGCCCACTTCGAGTTTTATAGTATCTATCGGCTATATTCGTCTATGCCATGTCTATTGACTATGCTATGAGTTGACTTGAATTACCCGCTCCATTTAGGACAAACGTCTGCCAATTTCAAAAAACCTGGCCTCCCCCACCCTCACGCGTAAAAACATATGGTTGAAGATCCCGCAAAGCAGGGACCATGGATTGCAGCCCAGTAGCCAGCTTCTGACTGAAGCCGGGAGCCGGGAGCCGTCCCACACCTTGACGATTTTGCGTACCGTTGGCCATTCTCTTGAACTTGATTTGTCTTCCATCATGGTCGACCACCGCATTGCCATGTGATAGGCGCAGCCATGTGATAGACATCATCATGGACCAAGGCTGCGGTGCCGTGCAGATGCCACAGCCGAAAGATTGGGCCCTGAGCACGACAAAGCGCTTGTGGCACTGCATCGGTGCGGACCTCAGTCCCTCCAAAGAGACCAACACATTAGCAAACATGTACTGTTGAGTCAAGAACTGTATTGTCTTGTCACCAGAGATTTGCATCCAGAAATCCCACACAGCCGCAAAGTGAAAGCTGTAGATTGCAGTAGGCACCACTATTTACTACAAGCATCAAACAGCATCAAGCAGCATCAATAAGTATAGCCTATAGCAACTGCTCAAAAAATATTTGGATCCAGAGATTTGGATCCATGAAACCACAAAGTCAAAAACTGTTCTCCGGCTCGGCTCCCGTGGCGCTCCACGGCTGAGGCTCGCGCGGGTGCTGGTGGCCCGCGGCGCCTTCGCGGAGGCGGAGCCGCTGCTGCGCCGAGGCCTGGAGGCCCGGGAGCGGCAGCTGGGCCCCGAGCACCACGTGACGCTCACCGCGGTGCACAACTTGGCGCTCGTTCTGGACAACCTGGGGAAGTTCAGCGAGGCGCCGCTGATGTGCTGTGCTGCAGTCACCGTGGCGGGTGGATGGTGCTGCATTTTGTGTTGGGCCAAGTTGGGAAACATGCAGGGAAACAACAACCAAATTTCCAGATCATCTCAGACTTTGTCATCTATATTATAGAAGTGCGATAATGCATGAACAAGTCAATTTCACGCAAATCATCTCAAATCAGCTCAAATCACGTCACGTATGGACGTGCCAAAACATGGACATGTCAAAGTTTAGCAGAAGATGTTTGCAAAGAACAGGTGCCGCGTTGCAAGTTTCAGTCTGAGGTGTCTGTCAAAGCGTTTTTGCAAAAACCCACAGAACAGATGCACCCTGAGGTTGGAGTTTATTTGCACATGGAAGATTGGAACGACGATGACGCACATCCAAATTATGTTGAAATGTCAACTCGTCGAACTTTGCGTTTTATTCTTCAAGCTTTGAGAATTTTGTGTGCATTTACATGGTACAATTGTACTTGACATCTTTTTCATCAGTCCAAACTCAAGGCCGTTGCCCACCTTTCTTCCCTTTCCACATGGTACTCGCAGGCGGATCCAGGCCTGGGGCCCCACACCACCGGTGCCATCCCGAGACGCCAGGCGGAGGCCCTTTACCGCCGAGCTCTTGCAGGGAGCGAAGCGCACCTCGGTGCGAATCACCCAGAGACGCTCACCTCCATGAACAACCTTGCCGCGCTCCTGCGGCAGCAGAGGAAGCTGGCTGAGGCTGGGCTGAGGTCTTTCGTGAAGAGAGGTGAACTTCCTGGAGGACGCTTCACATTTTTGGTTTGACCAAGGCCTGAGGCCTGCATTTTCTTCTTGTTTCCTGGTATTGTTGAAACGATGTGACAAGCGATTCATTTATGCAATTATTTATCATCATCGTTGCAGGTTGTTTTGTCTGTATATGTACTTGCTTTTGTTTCCCACACCTCCTGACCATGTGCCCACCCTCGGCAAAATCTCATGAAGGTATAGTATAGTTACTATAGTTATAGTCACCCTTTATCACACTCTCAAAAGAATTCATCAAACCTGAAGAATTTTCAAGATTCACTATACCAGCAAGGAACTGCGTGGCTTGTGAAGTCACCAACAGGATAGTGTTGCCAACCCAATTCAATGAAGACCAACGAAGTAACTTTGCAGATGCACCCTCTTTCTTGCCATTTGGCATTGCTTCTCAGACGTGCTCCCCCTGGTTCCCTGGGGTCGGTTGCAGGTTGAGGTCTTTGGGGTGAGAGGTGACTTTCCTGGACATTTCACCAAGAGCATTTTTTGGTTTGACCAAGGCTTGAAGCCTGGAGATTCTTTTTGTTTCCCGGTATTGTTGGATGATTCTTTTTGTTTTCTGAGTTTGGATTTTTTCACAACGGGAAGATTGGATCGAAGATGACTCACATCCAAATTTTGTTGAACATGTCAACTCATCGACCTTTGTGTTTTATTCTTCAAGCTTTGAATCAGCTTTGAATTATGTGTGCATCTTACATGGCACAATTGTATTTGATATCTTTTTCATCAATCCAAACACAAAGCCATTGTTCATCTTTCTTCCTTTCCCACATGGTCACATAGTACTCACAGGCGGATCCAGGCCTGGGGCCCCACACCACCGACGCCATCATCCCAAGACGCCAGGCGGAGGCCCTGCACCGCCGAGCTCTTGCAGGGCGCGAAGCGCACCTCGGCACGAATCACCCGGACACGCTTCAGTCCATGAACAACCTGGCGAACCTCCTGCGGCAGCAGGGGAAGCTGGATGAGGCGGGGCTGAGGGTCTTTGGGGTGAGAGGTGACCTTACTGGACGTTTCACCTAGGGCATATTTTTGTTCGGCCAAGGCCTGAGGCCTGGATTTTCTCTTGTCAATTTCCCAATATTGCTGGATTACCTTTTTTGGGCGTAATACATCGTTGGGACCTCCATCCACATTTCATAGTTGTAATCGGCAAAATGAACACATGGCAAAACTGTCAAATCTTTCCGGTGAATTCTTGCAAATGAGGCCTATAGATGGCTATAGTATAAATATATCTATATAGGCGCATGCTGAATGAAAGTATGACATCTGCAGGACCCCCATACTGTTCCCACTCGTTTCCTGGTTGCAGCCAGCCCACGAAAGCTGTGCGATTGATATTGATATATGGAGATATAATATATAATTATATAATCATATATATATATATATATATTCACCCCCATCACTTGACAGTGACATTTGTGAGTGGCTGCAGCTTTTTGGGGTCAATACATGAGCCTAGGGTTTCTAGTACCAGAGGTTCTCCGCGAGTTACGCTTCTGGGGACAATCGTCGGTGTGTCCCTGGGGTGCCATTGGACTGGGAGCTGTGATCCTCAGCTGTTGCTGTTTGGGGGTCGGATTCATTTGCGCTGCTCTGGTGTTTTCGGCTCAGTGCCGCAGACTGGTGGCCTATCTGGCAAGGGGCTTAGCTTTGAGCCTCAGTCCAGGTCCTGTTGTAGGCCCTGACCTCCAGCTGCAACGCCGATTGTCCGAGTACCACAGATCCAGTTGATGAGCGGTAGTCCCGCTACTGATCCAGTTGAGTCATTAACTGTTCATTTGGGTCAGCTCGAGATCACTATCTCAGTGCGCTCTCGCGCGAACGGATCTGCAAGTGAGTCCGGGGAACCCGTTGCAAGCCCTTCTACTGGCACTAGTGGAAATCCAGCTCCGAACGGGGCGTCTTGGGAACGGTTGGACCGGCCCTCTTTTTCCAGTGATTTTGTTGAAAGGATTTTGAGAGCTCAGACTGCCAGGGATTTCATTGCTTTTACGATTCCACAGATTGATCATTTGTTGCCTCGGCTCAGAGCCAGTGATCGGGATTGGTCCCCGAAAGCCCGTCTTGTCCGAGCCTTCCGTGCTGGATTGCTGGCACGTTTTCGCCTTGACGGCGAGTATCGGTGTGAGGACAGTCCGGGGATTCCTTGGAGGAACACTTACTACGTTGTGTTGAGGGGCCGAAACAACAGTGCTGGATTTCGGACCAACAACTACAATTTGTATCATTCCAGTGTTTTTGAGACTCGATCCGGCTCGACCAATTTCGAGCGCACCACTGTCTCCCACGCATTTCCCAGTCTGGCTGAGTTAGAAGCTTATATTCTGGGTGCTCAGGTGGCATGGCCGCCCGAGGTGCAGCAGTGAGACTCGATCAAAGGACTCTGCAAGATTTAGCTAACAAAAGTGCATCCGAGAAGTTTTTAAGTCCGGTGCATTTTCTGCTGGTTGAACCTAGTTCAGGAGTCAGTGCAATTTTAGCAGTATGCCACGTTGTCTACGTCAGACCGGGTGGGTTCATGCTAGCAATCCCGAATTCAATAGACCTTCAAGACGCTCTACGCGCTTTGGAGTCCACAGCCAACGCTCATGCAGCCTTTCATGCTGGCCAAGTCGAAGTACTGACCCAGCGTGGGAGGTCTCTGGGAGTGGGAGATATCATTTAGGTCGATTTGCCCTGGGAGAGTGCAGAGGATTTTGTCAAGCCAGTCAAGATTGGGTCAGGTCAGTTCAGAGATGCGGAGCTTTTGCAGGTCACTGTCAATGGTTCTCCGGGTCGTCCCTCCAAAGAACAAACTCAGCAGTTAGCAGACGCTTGGATCGGAGGCGAAGACATGGACGAGGACACAGCCCAAGAGTATTTAACTGGCGAAGATTTGGGTCCAGACGAACCTTTTGGTGCCGCTGGCGGTCAAGGTACTGGTATCGCAGAAGGGTCAGATGGGGGTTCGGCAGAGAAACGTGCACTGTTGGCTCGCATAGCTGTTTTGGAAAGCCAGTTGCAAGATCGTCCAACAGTCCCTACTACTTCTCCTGTTCCGAAGCCTCTGACAGCTGCAAGTGCCAGCAAGGCGCCTATGTTGTTTGGTGCTCAGCCTGCAGTTCTAGACGATCAGCAGTGGGGTCGGCTCCAGCGCTTGGCGGGGGCCCCACCTCCTCGAGCTGGCCAGGTCGAACAACGTCGCTTGGCGGTTGGTCCAGCCACCACCTACCGCGACAATGCTCTACTTGGACTGGAACGCGAAGCAGAAGAGGATTAGCAGCTGGACGCCCTAGCTCCTCCACTGGCAGCATCCAGTCAGGACCCGCTGCACCAGATCCTGGCCGCTCAGCTTCAGCAGAATCAACTTTTGCTTCAGCGGATGGCGCCCCGCCATTCAGACCCAGTGCTGGGGGCTCTCGCCGGCTCGGACAACGGGTCCGGCAGTGGAGGAAATGTCAAAGGATGCCTTGCGAGAGAGACATTTCAAAGGACCATTCAGGACCTTCCTCGAGTGGCCAACCATGCCAGACTGAACGCTCTGCGAGAGCTGGGGATCAGCCCCGAGAAGGAGGATGCTTCACTCATGAGGAAGTATGTGGAGAGGCGCATCCTCCTAGCAGAGTTCAAGCTCCTAGCTTTGGTGGCAACTATGCTGGCAGAGAGCTGGGCAGTCGGCTACGAAACCGGCGACATGGTTCTCCTCGGAACCGTGGCCCGAATGCTTTTCTTTGTGGAGCAGGCGGCAATCGACTCTGGCAAGACTCAATTAGCATGGCTCTTGACGGGCTACAGCGAACCGTCCCTTCATATGATGGTGTCTTCGAAGAAGCGACCAGGTCTGGAACCATTCGCGCGTCTATGCCCTCCGGCATGGATCAGCGCAAATTTGTCCTATCTGAAGGACTTGGACTTCATGGAAACCCGACTGCAGTCGCTCGAGAAGGGCCCGAAGAATCCCAAGGCCAATGCAGCCGACGACAAAGAGAATCCTCAGCCAAAGAGACCAAATCCCAAGCCGAAGGGCAAGGGAAAGGGAAAGTCCACTCCAGAAGCTCCTGCTGCCGACGCAGCTGCGGTGTGAGAGGCAAGGATCCACCTGGGTTCATTGAGGGTTTCTTCCAAGAAGATAATGCCCCCATTAGTCCTCCCGATAACCACATGGAGCCCCAATATAATTCTGCATGTAGTCCCTTTAACCCCAACTCGGCTGGCTTGGATGGTAAACCTGATGTTCCAAACTGTTCCTTTAGTCCTAACGTCGCTAAAAGCCGTTTTGATCCCATTGAGCTTCTGCAAGTTTTGATTAGTGATTTTTGGTCTTGTCACACTGGCCTGACCTATTTTGCTAAGGCTAGCCTGACTAGCAACACCTGCACTGTGCATGGCACTCAACCCAGTGCCTTATGGCCAGTTCCCCCCTTCAGGTGGCGATGGACCGGAAATGGTAGACCCAATCCCAGGCGGCGCATCCGCCTTAAGCGCCTTCGATTGCTTGCTGAGTTCATGAACATCATGATTTGCACGTTAAACTGGGAGACCCTAGGACAGGCCAAACGGCCTCCTGTACATGCATGTATTGGTTCCCATATCACGCCACAGCAGCATTTGATCATAGAGCGCTTAGAATCTTTCCTTTTGCACACTTTTAACATGGCCCCCTTTGAGGGCGGTGAGCTAGGGCGTGCAGCAGGCAAATTTCAGGGTTTAATTGATTCTTTGAAGGAACTCCCCAATACCAGCTTGGAGTCGCAGGACCTCTTAGAATTGTTGACTGACATGCACAACAGTTTTGATCCATACAGCTCGCATTTTGCGGATGAGAAAACTCAGCCATCTCGCAGCCCAGCTCACCCGAGTGAGCCAGATATCGGTGAAAGCACTGTTACAGTGAACTTGCCTAGTGCCAAACCGGTGATTGCATCGCGTGTTAAATGGAAAAACCCTCCGTCGTTCGAAGCGGCGGATTACCTGGACCCCCTTGTGAAAGAAGCTTTCCTTGACCCTGAGGTCCTAAGGAACCCAATTTCCATGTGGCCCCCTGCCAAACCTGCAAAGATGCATATCACCAAATCGGAGATGTTGAAAATGATTTCTGTTTGGGATGCTTTAGGTGCGTGTTCTATTTGCCCCCTTTCCGAAAAGGACTATACAGAAGCAGTTGGGATTTTTGCCGTTGATAAGGATTTGGATTATGACAGGCTGATAATAAATCCTAAGACCATCAACAGCCGTATGAGCAGCATTTCATACTCTACCAAAGAGTTAGCACCTGGGTCCATGTTGACTTTGTTGCGCTTGAAACCGGGAGAGATGTTTAGATTCAATGCTGACGACCTATCTGACTATTACTACTGCTTCAAGGTCAGTCCCGCTCGAGCACGTAGGAATGCATTTCGGATGGTTTTTGACTCAACTGAACTTTCCCATCTTTCTTGTTTCCACCCCAGTTTCCATGGTAAGAAACTATTAATCTGCCTGGCCACCCTTGCTATGGGGGATTCACTTGCAGTTGAAATTGCCCAACAAGCCCATGCTAATGTTCTTAAAGTTTGGTGCGGTGCTATGATCCCCGACGAATGCCTTCGGTACCGTTCACCCATCCCACGATCAGACTTCATAGAACTCCTTGCCATTGATGACCATGTTGGTATCCAGCGATTGAGCATCCGAGATTTCCCGAAGACCCCCAAACTTAGGGACAGCGAAGTGTTCGATCTTGCTGGCAGGGCATATTCAGCAGTAGGTTTGATTCAGCATGAGCAAAAACGCAAGAGAAACCAGGTTGAAGGGACCATACTGGGAGCAGATTTTGATGGGTTGAAAGGACGGGTGATGGCCCCCAGAGGACGTGTTATCCTATTATGTGCAATTTCCTTACAGATCGTGAAACGAGGGTCTTGTACTAGGCGTTTGCTCTCAGTCCTCTTAGGGTGTTGGATCCATGTCATTTTGTTCCGAAGGGTTGTTTTCAGTGTGATTGATCAACTTTTTCGTGAGGGGCAAGATCTTCCAATGGACCGCGTTTTTGTTCTGAGTCCGCAAGCGCGATGTGAGTTGCAGATCTTAGCCGTTTTGGGTCCAGTTTGCCAAAGTGACATTCGTGCCAAGCATTCAACAAGAATCTTTTCCACAGATGCAAGTCCTTCAGGAGGGGCAGTTATCGCAGCAGACATGGGTTCAACAGCATCCGGCGAAATCTGGAGGCACTGTGAACAGCGGGGATTTTACACCCGACTCCAATCTCCTGTTAGTGAAATTCTGCAAGAGAAGGGGTATGAACCTTGTTCGAATGAAGCCTTCATTTCAGCAGCGTCTGTTCCTACTCCGGCAGTCATGCATGTTCCAGCTCCAATGACTGAGGGCATTTTGTATGATTGCATTGAAATTTTCAGGGGAACAGGGAACTGGTCTGAAGCACACAGTCAGCATGGCTTCCGTGTGCACGATGGGATCGACATCAGCGGTCGGCGTTTGCGATTTACTGATATGGCTGCTCCAAGCACTTTTCATGAACTGAAAGCCCTTGCCTTGCGTCGTGTGTGCCTCGACTGGCATGCCGGTGTTCCTTGTGTAGGATTTGGTACTCTTAGGCGACCCCAAGTTAGAAGTAAACAATTTCCAGCAGGATTCAACATGAGCGATCCTTTCACAGCATTCCACAACATGCTTGCTCGTAGGACAGCCTTTCTGCTCACCCTGGTGCTACTGTCAGGTCACTTCGTGAGCGTGGAGCAACCAGGAAGCAGTCGCATGTTCTTGCTGCATTGTTTTCGAGTCATGGTGTTGCTTGGATGTACAATTAGCCATTTCTGTTTTTGCAACTTTGGCACTCCTTTCATGAAGCCGTCCAAGTGGCTTCACAACAAGCCATGGCTTCTTTCTATGGAAGGGCCCTGTAATTGTGGCAAAAAGGGTAAACATTTCGTTGTTCAGGGTTCTTTCACCAACAAAAGTATTGAAGACTTCCGCAGCCTGTGCCGCCCCTCATGTGAATCCGTTTTCGGTAAAACTCCCAAGGTAGGCCAACCAGTATCCCAATTCTCCGGTGCATATCCCAAAAGGTTGGTTGAGCACATGGCCTCGGGCCTCTCGCTGGCTTTGAAGGGTTCAGCTGGAAGCATCCCACTGCAACATCGCCTTGCGAGTTTGCGCGAGGTTGGATTTTCAGATGAGGATCTTGTGCCTAGTCCTAATACAGAGCCGCCTTTTGCCACTCGTGCATGGTTTGAAGGACCTGAATGGATCACAGAGCTCTGTGATTGCCTGCCGTTTAAGGAGCTTTTCCGATATAGATTTAAACGATCGGGGCATATCAATGTGAATGAGATGCGGACTTATAAGTCTTTTCTTAAGTCTTGTGCAAAGAGTGAAGCCGATTCCAGGGTAGTTGCGTTACTAGATTCTAGGGTCACCATCGGAGCCGCAGCCAAGGGGCGGTCATCTTCAGCAGCGCTTAGCCGTGTGCTGCGTAGTTCACTGGCGTATATTCTGGGAGCGAACTTGTATCCTGGATTGTTGCATTGTGCTTCAGAAGTCAACCGTACAGATGGACCTTCAAGAGACAAGCCTGTCGCGCCTCCGACCAAAGATGAACCATCCTGGCTGACTGACTTAAAGATGGGAAAAACCCGGAAGTTTGACGCAGTGGTTGAATCCAGCCGCATACCCAAAAATCCTGCTCGTTGGCTCAGATTTTTGCTGATGTTGTGTGGCGACATTGAGCCCAACCCAGGGCCCCGTCGTGGGCCAATGAATTTACAGATTGGTTTTGTGAAAGCCACCTCAACTCGGATGGCCAAGTGTTTTGAAGCTTTTCAGACATGGTGTTCTGAGCGACTGGAGATCGATTCCGATGTGGTTTGTTCAGACATGCAAGTTTTGGCCTGGGCTTTGCGAGCCTATGGGATGTATTTGTTTGAGGCCGGGCTACCACGGTACCTCCTGGTCTATGCAATAACTGCTTCTCAGGACTTATTTCCGGCATGCAAGCCCTGGTTGAATTTAGCATGGCAAATAGACCGAAAGTGGCAACTCCATGAACCTGGCAGCTGCCGGGCTGTTCTTCCTGCTGTCATCGTAAAAGCGATGGCTTGCCTCGCTGGTTTGTGGAACTGGAAGTGCTGGACAGGGGTTTTTCTTTTGGGCTTTGCTGGGATGCTTCATCCTAGTGAGATGCTGGCATTGACTCGGAAGGATTTAGTCTTTCCTCGTGATCTGAACTATGACCAGCCCGCTCTCTACCTGAGAGTCCGTGATCCCAAGACTGCCCGTTTTGCGAGGCGGCAGCACAGTCGAGTGGATGATGCAGGCATTATCAGCATTGCAGAGTCAGTTTTTGGCAGCCTTCCCTTGTCTGAAAAATTGTACCCTGGTTCCATCAATACTTTTCGTAGACAGTGGAATTGTATCATGGATGCACTTGGAATCCCCTGTAAGCAGCGAGACAATGGTGCGACGCCTGGAGTCCTTAGAGGTTCTGGGGCCACATATTTCTACACCTCGACAGAGGACCTGTCCTGGGTTGCTTGGCGGGGCCGTTGGTCCCGAGTCAAAACACTTGAGTTTTATCTTCAAGAGGTTGGTTCACATATGCTTATTCATGAGTTGGACAATTGGGCAAAAGCAAAAATCTTTCCTTTAGCAGATGCTGCTCCAGCAGTCCTCTGGCGTGTCTTTGACCTTGCAGTGCAGTAGGCTAAGATTGGAAAGTTGATTTCTATACGTTTGAACTGCAGCATCTTGTTGTGGGACCTACATCAATGAAGTCGACTTCTTTTCTCAGGCCTTTGATCATAGCTGGAAAACCCAGCTCATTTGCCAGAGACTGCTGGGCAACTTCGAACAAGCAGGTGGAAAAGTGATTCACCCCCATCACTTGACAGTGACATTTGTGAGTGGCTGCAGCTTTTTGGGGCCCATGCCTCTCCCGCCCTTGTGGCAACGAAAGTTGATTTCTATACGTTTGAACTGCAGCATCTTGTTGTGGGACCTACATCAATGAAGTCGACTTCTTTTCTCAGGCCTTTGATCATAGCTGGAAAACCCAGCTCATTTGCCAGAGACTGCTGGGCAACTTCGAACAAGCAGGTGGAAAAGTGATATATATAATTTAGCTAAACCCAAAAGGTCGCTGCGGCCTATTTTTGAAGATATTTAGACGTATTGAACGTGGGGGGGCGTACGGCCATCTGAACGAGGGTACGGCGGGGGTGCGAACGTGCGAACAGGGGGTGAAACGGGGGGGCGAACGTGGGGGCGACCGTGGGCGAATGTACGCACGTACATGCGCCGTACGTGCACGCACACACACACACACATGCACACACGTACGCACATACGTACGCACGTACGTTCGCACGTATGCATGTACGTATGTACCATGTTCAGACCCATGTTCAGACCCATGTTCAGAAATAAGGTTACCTTTGAAAAGTGACCTCCTAATACTAAATATGCTTTAGGAGGCTTAGGGTCGTACAGAAATAAGGTTACCTTTTCTATAAAAGGTAACCTTAAAGGTAACCTTATTTCTGAACATGCATGTGAACGTGGGTGCGTACATGCACATGAACGTGCGTGCGTGCATGCGTACGTACGTGCGTACATGCGTACGTGCGACCCCTTCATGCGCCCTCACCCTTACCTCCACGTTCGTTCCCTCCTTCGCCCCTCGTTCACCCCTCGTTTGCCCGTCCGCTCGCCCCCCCCACTCGCCCCCCCACTCGCTTGTGCGGGCGACGTTCGCCCGCATTTTCGCTCCTACGTGCGCCCCTACGTTCGCGCCCCCGCTAACCCCTCGTGCGGTTTTTTAACATATCCACGGCAGCGAGTTTTTGAGTTTAGCTAATATATAATTATATATATATATATATATACATACACTGTATATGGTAGTTTGCATACCGCAGTGACTACACAGATTGCCTGACACCTACGTTGCTAGTTTGTAGTGCCGCAGCGGCGCCACCTCGAGCCGCCAGGCTGAAGAACTGCAACGCAAAGCGCTCGCAGGGCGTGAAGCGCAGCTGGGCGCGAGCCATCCCAACACGCTCAACTCCGTGAAAGTTCTCGCTCTCATCCTCGAGTCGCAAGGCAAATTGGAAGAGGCCAGACCGAGGTCAGGGGCAGAGAGGTGACCTTCCCCGTGGAAGTTCCAAGGGGAAGGCTCTTTTTTTGAAGTAAACAAGAGTGGAAAAGTGGACCCTTCCATACTTCCATGTCTCCAATTTGTGCATCTCCTAAGTTTCGCCCAAATTCATTAGTTGAATTGCCCGGGCATGAAATCCATACATGCAATGTGCATCAGGGTTGGTGCCAAGGATCTGTCCTCCAATTCAAAACAGATGAGTCAAACTTGGGAACCCATCAGCCGCTTGCATTTTCCCGCAATCTAATTTTAGCTATGAAGGCTCAGCGGAAAACTAAGAAAAGTACAAGCTCCTTTCAAAGAGTTTCATCACTTCAAGACTGTGAAGAATCTTTGGGGTTTGTTGGGCAAAAGAGAATTGTACGGCTTGTGACGTGTGTCAGTTGTTTGTGTGAGGAATCTGTGAAAGTCTGAGGCTATGAACATGAATTGGCACGTTAAAGTGGTTTGCAAATGTTTGCGAAGAGTCTGCAAAACGCTGAACAAAACGCAGCTTTCCAAAAGGTTGCCAACAGGTACAGGCTCAACGTCCCTATTGGCATTTGAAGTTTGCAAAATTCTTGTGAGATGTATGACCTTAGTTGGCCGCATAGTCACCTGTTTGACTGCGACAGCATCACCAGTTCAGCTGAACCTGTGAAGGGAGTATTTCTTGTTATATGCAATCTAGCCATATCTAGCTTGCCTACATGCTCGGCAGGGCTTTTCGAGCCCCTTAGCAAATTTAATCCGTTGATTATTTTGGAGGGCGTTTGACAATGTTTGAGATGATGACCGACCATCTGTGCCATAGCCACCTCCGTGGTCGCCCCAGGGTTGTTTCGTGAGAGCGGGCCAGCAATGTGAGCAAACACTGTGAGCAAATTGAATAAATTGATGCTTCTTGGCATCCCGTGAATTTAAAGAGTGCTTGACGAGCGCTTGGAATAGTATGTTCTCACTATAGTCCAAAAATGGTGGCCTTTGTTGGCTTATTCTTCCCTTTCCATGACCCATGGGGCCTGAGCTGGGGCTCCCCATGTTTCACCACCTCAGTACTCCACCTCGAGCCGCGAGGCGGAAGGGCTGCACCGCCGAGCCTTGGAAGGCCGCGAGTCCCAACTGGGACCCCAACATCCCAGCACGCTCGCCTCGGTGAACAACTTGGCCATGCTCTTGAAGAAGCAGGGCAAGTTGGAGGAGGCGGGGCTGAGGTCGTTGGGGCTTGGGGCACGCAGAGGTTGCGGAAGTGTCGAGGGGAAGGCAGTTCTCGAGTGGCCAGGACAAGGGAATGGTGAGTTTCTTGTTTCCAAGTTTCACCGGAGCAATTTAAAAATTCAGTTTATGAGAAGTTTGATTTTGCATGTGGGACTTGTCTTGGTATGTTTGCTTTGAAATTTAATGTCCGACAGCATTGTTGCCGGAGAATTTGATGAAATGACCCCACAAAACGCGGGCCAAGCAAGCGGGACGTGCCAGGGTCGCAAACTCATGAACCTGTTTCTCCGGAATCCAAGCTTCGGCTGTAGATACCAGATTGGGCTTAACTTGTTTAGCTGGGTTGGTGGATCATAACAGCAGTACATGCATTTTGTGAAAGGGTAGAATTTCATTGTCTTCCAAGAAATGATACTTGGTAGCTCGGTTCTATTTAGAGCTTTGGCTGATGCATCGACAATGTGTGCCAGCTTCACGCAGTACAAAGAAAAGCCTTCACCCTGGCTTCGTGCTTCCCACCTCCCATCCTATGCAGATCAGATTCTGAGAGTTGCGGGTTTTGATGTTTGAACAATCAATGTGCCACACTGCGTCACCAACACATTGCCGTTCACCAGTTGCGGATCACAGCACAAGGCCCATCTCGCCACGGCATAGGAAGCCACCCTGCTGTCATCCATCCACAACCCACCCTGCAGGCGGAGGAGCTCCATCGCAGGGCCCTGACGGGGCGAGAAGGTCAGCTGGGCCCCGTGCATCCGGACACCCTCCTCTCCGTCTACAATCTGGCAAAGCTTCTGGAGTACAAAGGCTCCTTCGCAGAGGCAGGCTTCGGTCGGCTTTTGTTGTTGCTTGGGCCGGTTCTGCTTGGAGGGGATGTAGATGTGGGAAGTCGATGGAAGTTGAATAAGTGGTTTAACAGCGACGCACTCCTGAGTCTTGGCAAGAGTGTTGTCAAGATTCGAAAGATGTTTTCTTTGTATAAATGCTTTCTATAGAGACGAGGTTTTGTGACATTCTCGTTGGGGATGCCCAACCGGTATTGAGATATTGCAAGTTCTAAGTGATGCGGTCGCAAAGTCCTAAGGTGCGTCATCAGCCCGGGTCCCGGGTAGCCAGCCACTGCCATGCACCACGTCTAGGCAGGGCAGCTTTTTCTACGCGAGCTGCGTGGCCTGGAGGCGTCTGCCAGGGTCACACGGGAACTGTCGATGGCTGACCTTGGACGGCTCCAGACCATGATGAAACCCAGACACCATCTGGGTCCAGGTGGTAGTCGCATGTAGTCGCTGCTCGTGGATTTTGGAGTCCCAAAGTAATGTCCGTCAGAAAGTTTTGGTCGCCTTTAGTTGAATTCCATCAATGGACGTCTTCACTGTATATTCATGCATCTAGACTTTGCAACAAGAACAATGATTGATCTGATAATCTGATACTGTAATTTTTCCTATCTTTTTGCTTTCGGTATCATGGCGTTCGGTGTTGCAAGTTCAGGCTTGCTCGCAATCTGGCCCGAGCTAAATCATTGAGCCCTGCCAAGACATGTGTTCCACACCGCGAGATCCGCAAAACTTTCAGCCCGCTCGGTGCCGCCTTCTCTGCAGGAGCTGCATGGTCCGGAGCACGAAAAGACCCGAGGGCGTCGCCGCGACCTGGAGCGATTCCAACGAGAGCACGGTTCAGTCGATTAAAGGCCGTGTGAGACCAAAATTTCCCTCCAAGACATTCACAGGCGACATGCTCGAATCGGTTTCAATCTTTACCAAGATGTTTGGATTATTTTGATGGAAAGCTGGCCTGTGGCCTTGTCTTTTTCCCACCGTCAAGGATTTTGCTTCTGAGGCAGCAAGTGGAGGCATGTTTGAGTTTCTCAAAGTTCTGCAATTCAGATTTTGTTCAGAACATGTTTGACCGATAAAGAGACGTTTGAGTTTTTGCCCAACTTGTTGCAGTTTGGGTTTGGGAATGGATTCGCATGCCAGCTTCTCCCAGAAGTATAGCAACATGTTTCCAACAAATTGCATTGGTATGCCTGTGGGATTTGTGGTTGATTCACTTTAGAAAGTTCTGCATTTTCCACCAAGTCTCCATTGACTCGCAGGCATTTCAGCATCTTCCAGCCCGTGACCCTGCATCGCATTGAGCCGCAAGCTATCATCATCTATCAATATCTCCCGTTTCACTGAGATCTATAGAACATTATAGAACCCGAAATCGGAGCTTCGAATTACCAAGCAAATCTGTCCAAACAGGGCGCGTCTCGATTTGACCCCCGCAGTACTCGAAGTCTGCAGACTTGGCGTCTGGGATCGGATCACTTCCAGAGTCACAAGGTCAGGGCCTCTGATAG